CTATTGTTGTTGTTATTGTTATATACAGTGAAGCCGTTCTTCTTGTCGACTCCGGCGAATCAGACGATCCTGTCTGATCAGACGGCGGAATTCGCTTGCCGCGTGGGCGGTGATCCCTCGCCTGAGATCCTGTGGCGAAGAAACGATGGGAAAATGCCGATCGGGCGAGCGCACATTTTGGACGACCGAAGCTTGCGAATCGAGAGAGTAACGTCGCAAGATCAAGGCACGTATATCTGCGACGCTGAGAACAGCGTCGGTGCCATATCTGCGAGTGCAACGTTGACAGTGCATTGTAAGTAGGCGAGGGGTGGGGTGGGGGGTGAAAAAAAAAGTAGAGAAAGCATTCGATTGCAGGCAAGATGATGATTGATCGGTCAAAGGTCGGCTCGTGAAGGGCGTGCTTGTGATTCTCCGTTTTTTTTCTTTCTTTCTCTGTTGCCAATCGACTGCAGCGAGACCGATGTTCAGCAGTTTCCCGAAAGACGAGACAGTTGCCGTCGGATCGAACGTTTCGTTTAGCTGCGCGGCTCGTGGCGCCCCACAGCCTTCGATCTTTTGGACCCGGGAAGGTTCTCAGGAGCTCATGTTTCCTGGAAACGAATACCAAGGACGTTACAGAGTTACAGAGGACGGAAGTTTGCACGTTAAGAGCGTAATTGGCAAAGACGAGGGACACTACGTTTGCAGCGCAATCAGCCAGGCTGGTGCGAGCACAGCTACCGTCTTTCTCCAGGTAGATTCTTCTATTTAGTGGTATAGTGCGCATAGCCGATAGTATATTAGCGCAACGATTCCATTCCATTCCATTCCATTCTCCATGTGTCCTCCGTGTCGCGAGCTTTCTCCCCTCACCGCATGCATGCAATCCATGCAAGCCACCACATCCATGTACAAAGATGACCGATTTTCTTTTCTTTTGCTTCGTCCTTCGATTAGGTCACGTCGGTCGAAGAGGTCCCACCGCCTGTCATCGAGATTGGAGCGACGAATCAAACGTTGCCTCCGAACAGCGACGTTTCGATGCCGTGCCGTGCATTCGGCAGACCAGCTCCGAAGATCCGG